GCTTCATAGGTTGCGCTGGCTTGGCCACGTGTTGCGTATGCCAGTCGACTGACTTCCTCGAAGGTCTCTTTTCACACAACCACGTGAAGGGTGGAAGAGTGTCAGAGGCGGTCAACCAATGACTTGGCAGCGAAGTATGAAAGCCATTACCAGGAAACTTAGCTGCGCTGGTCATTGCCGTCTTCCTGGATGGCGAACCCGAGACGGGCCACATCAATGGCTAGAGATATTGTCAGATACGGCCCAGTCGCGCCATCAATGGCGCTCGTGCATCCAAGCTATTGCCTTCGATGCATAGCTCCTTTCCCAATCCCCCTACGTGACAGCCCACTGACAGTGCTGGATCTAACCCCAATTTATCAACTCCCGCCTGCGGCGCGCAGCTACCTACCCCCCTCCAAACCATCGGTGAACGAAACTGCGGCAGCTACAACCACTGTACGACGAATACGCGGTTATTACAGCTGACATCGATGTTGATTATCATCATATCAGTGAACTAGCCTCAAACCCGGAGCACACAAGAACCCCTTTCAATGGGGGAAAGTGTCAATGTAAACTGGAAACAGCTATCCAACACAATTTCTCGTAACTGGATCTCCATTCCAGAAAAAACCCAGCCTAAATAGCGGGCATCATCCATGAGTTGATCATTCAGTCCGAATAAGTTTGGAGTTATATCTAGTACGTAATTGTGGAACCGTCTTGGTGTGCGACTGTCCGGAGCTCGAGATAGCTGTGGTTGAGGATGAAGGTATGTTGTTCGAACCTAACCCTAGCATCTCGGGTGTTCCTGTGTAAGAATGGGCAACCCGGCAGGGTCCCAGCCCCCGTGCTTTCTTTTCTAGGCACCGAAATGGAGCTACAGCTGAACTATTATTACTTTTTACATTCTGAATAAGTTTATTCGGGTTACACCACTGAGAACGAAAACCTCCCTAATAATGTAGACGGTCCTTCCTCAATCACCGCCGCTTTGCAGGCAGGTTTTTGAGCTAACGGGTTGATTGAGGACCCAATCGTCCTCTCGCACGGGCTGTGGGCTCCTTGACGGTATGCTTACAGCTAACAATACTGTCAAGCCACATCGGTCAGAACGTGGTGTCACTAACGTCTGCTGCAGCTATGCTGAATACAGACGGCCTGTATGTGCCCTCCGGAAGCAAGTCTATCCCAGCACAGACAGACCATAACGCAACTAGATGTACATGGCTTGGGTCAGTCAGTCAGTATCGCTCGCTATGGAACACCTGTAGGGTTTTGGATTACACGCTTGTTCGCTGCTGCTTCTCCTTGTTTTTCAGGGCCATTGAGAAGCCCTGGGGCTCTGATGAGACAAATCTACCAGAGCCAGGAAGTTACATCCGGACGACTTCTTCTGGAAGGTACTGTCCACAACCCTGCTATATGGTGGGCACTCCGCTTGTGGAACGATGTAACCAACTGGGCCCAGGAACTAGAGCTCGAACTTATACTCGCTTAAAATTGATGTTGTGTCCCAAGAGAAGCCCTGGGGCTCTGATGAGACAAATCTACCAGAGCCAGGAAGTTACATCCGGACGACTTCTTCTGGAAGGTACTGTCCACAACCCTGCTATATGGTGGGCACTCCGCTTGTGGAACGATGTAACCAACTGGGCCCAGGAACTAGAGCTCGAACTTATACTCGCTTAAAATTGATGTATGCTGTGTCCCAAAAACACGCATACAAGACCCGAAGGCCAAGAATCAACTCAGCTCTTTCACATTTCTCCCACCGTGTGTCCGGTGACCCAGAAGCCATTACTCGTGGAATATATAGCGTGGGAGCTGCACTTAGCCTCAGAGCTGAACGCCCTTTGCTGTATTGGATCCCAACGAACAGTCGTCTTTGCACCGTCCGGTTAACTAGTTCAATCAAGCTCAATGCCTCTTGACATAGAAAGGGGTGCCTGCTTATGCCCCAACGGACTGCAATTCTGAGGCGGATAATTTCTGTCGAGAGCTATCCGGGCTCATTCGTCAAGCAAAATGCACTGACATTGTGATCCTTCCAGGCGACCTGAATGCTCAAGTAGGTAGTCTGAGCTCTGAAATCACATTTAGGCGGTCGATTCGGAGTTGATGCTCGCCGCAAAGACCACAGAGATCGACACTTCCAGTTGGGCGCTGATTATGAACTGTTTCTGGGAAATTTCTGAACTAGCCCAACAACTCTCCACACTAAACCAATACTGCACTGGCAGTGAGCATCTAAGTGAAGCGTAGCAAATGCGAAGGGAACTATGTCAGCGACGTTAAGTTCTGTCTATCCGATCTCCCCGATTCGACCACAAGACCACTGGGTGCCGACGTGATCGCTATCCATGATCGATGCCAGGAAATCCCTACCATTCCTCAAACGCCAAATAGTGAAAAGTACAAAGAAAGACCGAAAGCTATGGTGGGGATCGAAATCTCAGGAGATGGAGAGGGCCTTTGCTACGGGAAATAGCCGCGCCCTATTTCAAATGGTACGATCGACTGGCCCCAGGAAAGCGACGGTCAGCGAAACGATAAGTGAAAAAGCCGCCTCATTAATTCACTCGCAAAAACGTCGACTGGAAAGATGGGCCGAGCACTTCGGAGAACAGTTCAGCTGGCTTCCTGTACTACAGCCTGTGATGATAATGTACACGGGCGAATGGAATGTAAACCTTGGTCGCCCTTCGGAAGAAGAAGTAAGGTACGAAATAGCCCTATCAAAACGTAAGAAGGCACCAGGACCGGACGGTCTTTATCCAACCCCCTTCAAAGAAGGCGGAAAACCCTGGTGACCCATCTGACACAGCGTACCGGTGCTATATAGAACGAAGAAAAGGTGCCTGCGCGTCGACAGTTATCCCTATCTTAAAAAAGGATACGCGGATGCTGTGTGAAAACCACCATGGCATCGGTGCTCTCTGGCCTGATCCTTAGAAGGTTGACTTTCTCTCTCTCTGATTCAGCTGTAGCACCCCCTTTCGGTGCCTAGCTACCATACTACTCGAAGGTTGCACGAGTGCTGGGATGCTGCCAGGTTACCAACCAAAGACAGAGGAAGTCGAGAGGTAGAGGTCGCGCCCGAACCACGGACCTTGTGGTCAGTAACTTCGCGCTCTAATCACTCGGTCAATCTCATCCCCAGATTGAACAGAGGCAGATCCGTGAAAAACAAGCTGGGTTCCGTCCTGCAAGAGTTTGCATCGATCAAAGCTTCACCCTACGACAAATACTGGAACAGCGACACTGCTTCCAGCAGCCAACAATGGCTGTTTCGTGATCTGAAAGCTGCCTTCGACTCTGTGGACCGTCAGGCACTATGGGAGTATCTGTGGAGCAAGGGTGACCTCCATAATGGCTTGACCCTCCTTATGGCGCTGTATGTCAAATCACACGGCTATGTGAAGGCCTGAAGAAACTCTCTTCTGAGTTCATCACACCAAATGATGTCAGATGAGGCTGTCCTCTTTCACCTTTACTCTTCAACTTCGTCATTAATGCGACCACGGAAGATTCACTGCCAGCCTCTAATGCTTGTGGGGTTGAAGTGCTCCCAGGGAGTCCGCCCACAGATAGAGTACGCAGACGACACAGGTCTTCTGGGATCTGACCCCGTGGTAACGCGAACAATATTAAATAATCTAAATTACCCCGTCTCACGGTTGGGCATGCACTTCACACATGCAGTGTCAAGTGTTACTGCAACACTGAGTGAGCTCAAACCCTAGCCTCATACTTAGTGCTAGCTTACTACGACCATTCCGAGGTGCCTGCGCGTCCAAACACTCATTTAGGCAATCTGGATATAAACCGACAAGACCGCCACTAGCATCGGTTGGCAACCATAATCCACGGCATCTCCAAAAAGGCGCAATGAGGATCACGCGACGCTCAACCTAAAACGCAAGGTTTCGTAATTTTCTTCATAGCGTTCTGCCGGTCCAAGGGTTTGCCACCACTTTGCTTCCGCCACCCTGAACTGGACATGGAAAACGGCCCTCTTCGGTAAACGATGGTAGGGCATACGCAACATATATCCCAACTCACACAGCTTATGGTGCAGGACACATTCTTCTATGGAAGTACCCGTTGCACAACCGGAAACTCGTTTTTTAATTTCCTCGTTGCGGATACGCCGACACCAACCCACACGAGCTATGGTTTTGAGATAACGATTGTCGAACACCTGAAGACGTCTCCTACCCAAACAGTCCAAGTCTCAGTCATACAACAAAACAGCCCGCGCTGTAGCTTGATACACACTTCCCTTGAGATTCAATGATACACCACTCTGACGCCATAGGTGTCTTAAATTAGCAAACGCGACCCGAGCCTTGCAGATTTATGCATTGACCTCAGCTACAACGCTTCAATCAGAATTAATACAAGCACCAAGATACGTCACTCTCCACAATATTTCATTGTCTCTTCCTGGATTGTAAGTGAAATGTTAAGGGACTATATGTCCAGGAGCATGGCATTACAATATGTGGGTACAAAATACATTCATTAGAAAATACCTTCGCCTTCTCCTGTTCCGAAAGTTTTGTTTCACACATTTTCGTAGTTGATCGGTCTCCGATTAGAGGACTTCAGTCCTGATACCTGATCATGCGGATCATCGCATCCCCTGTTGATATGGAATTCGGATGAGCCAACTCGTCAGAAAGAGCTCACACTGGGACCACCGACAGCTAACGCATGATTGTTATGATATCTGATATATCACTGTACTAGTCAGCCAGTTGAACAGACGAATTTTCTCAGATTTCCATACAAAATGACTGTTATCTGTAGTTCCTAAGAGGCTGAGTAACATGCTAATGATTACATGCACGATCCATCCAGCCCATATGATGTGCTGTTTTCAGTGGGAACAACCGGAACCCAGTAGAGTGCCACGACAGAAGACAAAAGACTTAGTCACGTACCAATGAATGTATTAGAAATTTACGACTTCTTCGGTTTTGCTGTTGGTGGTGCAGTTGGCTTCATGTTCAACATTAATGCACTTGCCCGTCGAAGTGCGAGCTGTGAAAAAAATTAGCCCGAAGAACAAGACATACCATCTTCAACTCTCTTCTGTACTTTTGCCGACATATCATATTGCGTATTTTCTGAAGTGTTCGTCGGCGTCCACGAACATATTTAGTCCGGACAACGGCCTTCGCTGGCTTATGATCATATCCGGGTTTTTTAGTAATCAAAACAATTCCCTTTCCGTATTTCTCGGGCTTGATGCCAATTGCCTTTTTGTGCACCAGACCACTGTACATGAAGCAGTTCTTCCCTTTCATATTTAAAGGGTCACGACTGAACTGCTCATTTCCACGCTTCATCAAGAAGCAGTTGTTACGTTTCACGAGATCCCATACAAGATGGCTCGACATTTCACGATCAAATTCGGGCACCAACGTGACAGTGACCGGCGCGCTTCAACACGACAATAAACACACACCGGCCCTCAAGGTCAGTTCAGGGTTAGTCACCCGCTATTCGATTAACCGATATTAGTGGGTTTCTGACTAATCCATTTGGACCGTAGTCCCTTAGTTCTGTACTGTGCGTTTGTTCGAGCGAGTCGTTATGCTTAACACCCTTTGTTGGTACGGTGCCGAGCGGTCACGCTGGGGCTATGGAATATAGCGCCGGAGTCAAGTCTGTAGTGGTCTGGTTACCCAATAAGTTAGTTTACCTGGAGTGTGTGGCAAAGAAATAAAAAGAATTACGCTAGGTTGGGTATACAAAAATAAAGAGATCAGACGGAACAGACTCACTAACAATTGTTCTCTTTAAAATAGTTCGTCGTTGGCCCAGATCAGCGAATAAACAATAATCCGATTATGTTGGTCCAGAGGTCTTCTGAACAGTTGCCACATATTATAGATTCCGAAGACGTCTGAAATGTTTTGGTACCAGACTTAGTACATGAGACTCGCGAATGACCGCTGCAAGAGCGAGCGAAATCAGAAGAGAGAGTCGAAGCACGTGACCACGCTTGAATTCTGTGGAATTGTATAAGTGCCCGATTTTGTGGGTTTTCGTATTTAAACAAAAAACGATTATGCAAGTGAAGAAATATGTAGTGTTATAATGGAAGTAAAACAAAGGTACAAAACGTCACACTACTCCCCCACTAGAGCATTGACCGCGAAATGGGAAAACGCTCGAATAAATAAAGTAACGAATCACAATTCGCTCACTTTAAGTTTCGTAACCAGCTAAGTGCTGAGGGAAACGGATGCGTTGTCCGGAACGGCTAGTGGAAGGAGTGAGGTGAGCGGGAGGGATATCTTGGGTAGGTTTGGGTGTTGCTGGGATAGCGGGATTGCTGGATGTGGTCGTGGGTGCTTCAATGTAGGCAGGTTTCAGACGATCAATGGAGACGGTATCGTGCTTTCCACTTCTCTCTAAAACAAAGTATTTGGAGTGACGTCCGATAACCTTGAAGGGGCGATCATAACAGGGTTGGAGAGGTTTCCTCGTTGCGTCACGTCGGACAAATACAAAAGATGTAGAAGAGAGTTCGGTTGAGATGTGCTCCGTTCGCTTTGATCGTCTGGTCGGTGTCGCGCGAAGTTCGGACATGTGTTGTTTCAGACGGGAGATGAATGTAACTGGTGATTCGGGCTGTGCGCCTGAAGGGGAAACTAGTTCACTGGGTAGACGTAGAGTTGTACCGCATACTAGCTCGGCTGGGGAACAGTGAAAATCCTCCTTAACAGTGGAGCGAATAGCAAGCAAAATGAGGGGTAAAGAAGAGGACCATGAAAATGTGTTCATTTGGGAAGTCCGCGCAGCTTTGAGGTAGCGAGGGAAATGCTCAGCGAAACCGTTAGAATAGGGGTGATACGTGGTAGTCGATGTGTGATGGAAACCGAATAGTGTAGAAAACTCCCGGAAGAGAGTACACTGACATTGTGAACCGTGATCGGTAGTAACGGTGGAAGGTATACCAAAATTACTTACCTAGTGCTGCAAAAATGAAAAAGCAACCGTTTCAGCTGAAGTATCCGAAATGGGTACAGCTACCGTCCAACGGGTAAAAAGATCAATCATGGTAAGGATATACTTGAAACCGTTTGATTGGGAAAGCGGGACAACAATGTCGAGATGGACGTGTGTGAATCGAGCATCAGGAACGACAAATGAACCGACAGGTGAGTTTCTCAGTTACTTTACCGCGTTGACAGGCAATGCACTGTTTGGCCCAGGATGTCAGGTCTTTGTTCTTGAAGTGCCATACAAATCGTGCACCAATCAACTTCCTGGTTGCTCTGATTCCTGGATGAGAAAATCCATGAAAGTGGTTAAAAACAACGCGTCGAAAAGCTTCAGGGAGAATTGGGCTAGCTGATCCGGTAGACATATCACAAAAAATGGTTCCGGATTGGAGGGGTAACGGACTTGAAAAGACTTGAAATGAAGGAAACGATAGAATGGGCAAAAAATTAGGATCACTGTTTTGAAGGTTCGCCAGCTTGTCTAGGTCCAACTGCGTGGAAGGGCGAAGAGCGTTGATGTCAGGACGGGACAGGGCATCTGCGACGACATTGCCCGAACCTTGAGTGTACCGAATGTCGATGGTGAACTGTGAAATATAGTCGAGATGGCGTATCTCGGGTGGTGAATATCGATCAGCCTTGGCGTTGAAGGCATAAGTGAGTGGCTTATGGTCGGTTTGAATGGTAGACGATCTACCCCCTAACAAGTGCCGGAAATGGCGAATAGCAAGGTAAATTGCGAGTAATTCACGACCAAAAGTACTGTAATGCGTTTGGGCAGCCTGCGTCTTCCACGAGCAAAACGCTGCTGGTGGAGATGTGTTGTTAACAACTTGATGAACCATGGCACTGACGGCAGCGTTCGAAGCATCACTTGTGAAAATCCGCTTTGTGCTTTCGTGAGTATCGAGGTAAGATAACATTGTGGCCTGAGGAATCGCTTGCTTGGCTCTTTCGAAAGCGGCAATGGAGACGGCGGACAATGCAACAGATTTTTTCTTGGAGCCGAGTAAATCGGTCAGTGGTTGCAAAATATCCGCACAGTGAGGGATGAATCGCCGGTAGTAGTTGATGATACCAATGAAACGACGAAGTTGAGTGATAGTTATGGGCATGGGAAATGACTCTAAGGCCAAAATGCGATCGGGTAATGGTGAAATACCTGTGGCGTC